GAGCGAAGTAATAAATGACCAGTCAACGATTACTCAATGTGATGTGGTTTCTGTTCAAACACAAGTCTATATTGAGGCTCAGCATGAATTCATGTTGACTGGGAAGAGCAACTGTAATCTAAAAATACATACATACAGGTGTGAAGCCATGGCAATATACTGAATAAAGATCTTTTTATTTTATTTTAGGTAACCCTCACATATATTTCAAAATCTGTAAAGACATATTCTAAAAGTGTTCTCTATACTTAATATTTGCATATAAGAAAGACGACTCATTTTAAAAAGATGGAAAGTCCTTTTTTCCTTTTTTATTATCGAAAAATACTGTCAGCATGAAACAAACAATTTCATATATATACATATAAATATCAAAAAACGTTCTTTCAGGTATTACTCAGAATTTCCCATTGAATTAACATTGACCGTGGCAACGCATCTGTACATATCAAGCAAGGAACATATGTCATAAATATACTGGTGTTGGAAAGTTTTCAAGAAAAGTTCTTACGTGCAGCAAAGGTTTGAGGGAGGCCATTGGCAAAGACAGCCTCGCTCCCGCCTGGCTGGCTATTGGGCCCTGGCTGAGGAGCTATATTGAAATTCTGCATCGTAGGGGAAGGCATGGAGGGCAATGCGCCGTTTACGGGCTGAGCTTGACTGGCACCTGGGGAGACATGGCAACACTCATCAGGCGCAGAGCAGGTGGTGGGGGGAGTCTCCAGGGGCTGGGGAGCCACCTGGGACTGTGAGGGGAGGGGGGTAAGTGCGTCAGGGGCAGGAGGCCTCCTAGGGTCAAGATGGACGCTTCTTTGGCTACTGTTTTAACGTATGTACGATCAGATTTCACTCTGATTTTGGTTTATGAGTAATGGGGAAATATGTTATGTTTCTGGAATGACTGTTGAGTCTCTTACCACTTAGTATCAAATTTTGGCTCATTAGTAAAAACTTAATGAGGCTCTTCACAAAATGAAGTTTGATGTTATAAAATTATTTTCTGTTTAAGGAAAATAACAAGAAGAGAAAAAAAATTTGCTTCTGATTTTTTTCTGCTACAGAAAATCATCATATTCCAAATCTGAATCCAAATTAATATGGTGTGTGAGAGGGAACCACAGTGCTCTGCGCATTTTCCTTTTTTGTTTAGAACCAAGCCTACAGGTGCAAAACATTCTACATCATTAAGACAGATTCATGTTAAACAATATCCCTGGGGCCCAGCTTATCCTGAAATCAATACAAATCTTTAAGTGGGAAAACTGAAAGTTAGTAAACATCTCGTCAAGGAGAAATGGTATGTTAAAAAAGGTAACTCTGGAGGAGTTGATTAAAGCTCAGTTACAAACACTTCCATTTGACGAGATGATGCGCCACTGACATCTTTCAGAGAGAAGGCTTGGTGTTAAAAATAAACTATTGCTATACCATCAAACTGAACTACAAATATGCTCCCTAAGGTAACAATCTCTTTTATTTTTAACAACCATCTCCTCTTCTCTTAAACATCAATTAAACTGACCAAAAATAGAAAATAACTTAAAGAAAAAAAAAACAATAAAGAACAATACCAGCACAGATTTTTTGCAAACATCAACAACAAATACACAAATAACACAAATGATCGATTATAAACGGCGTTAACGAAGTGAAAAAAGAGGGTTGCGGTGAAAGATCCAGACAATCATTAATGTTAATCTCCCTCTCCCTCAGGAAAAAATGATTTTCTTACAGATGATCTCAATGTTAACTTTGCAAACGCCGCCTTTCTATCACAGACAAGGTGTGAGTTACACTGGGGTGCCACAACAACACTCAGAAGGAGGGAAGATGCAATAGAGACATGGAAGAGAAGGAAAATCTTGATGATAAAAACATATTTAGGAATAAGCCAAGTTTGCAAAGAGGCCGAGAATCAAAGCTCATATGTCAAATGAATGAAATCTTATATAAATGAAATCTAAGTTTCTTGTACCTCTATTTTCCTTATCTTAACTGATTAATAAAGAATGGTTGCTATAAAAACCTCAATATCTGTCCCTGAAAGAAACTAAAAGAGAGTTCTTTCTTGTTTCCTCTTCTGGCAGACATATGAGTTTTATTCTGTGCTTTCTTTATAGTACACACTAACTTTGAGTTCCATAAACAGATGAATGTGTTGATGAGGTGAATCTGATCCCATATGATCTGTTATCAGTTACATTTTCTAATCTAAAGCAATGTAGAGACAGCCCGAATTCTTGACAGACTCTAGTCATCTGGTATTCAAAATAGTTCAAAAAGAGGAAGTTGAAAGAGAAAAAAAAAAAAGGAAAAAAAAAAAAAATCAGGATAAGCTTGGCTGCCTCTGATCAGTTAACTACACAGACACTTGAAATACACAGGAGAGTGAAGAGAACCAGCCAAAGATAGGTCATAATCATGATGATGAGTATTAGAGAGAAACAGAATTTCCTTCTGATTGTTATGATGTTTCCTTAGAATTCGGGCATGTGACTTGGTGGCTAAACTAAGGCTTGACCGGGGATGACTCTCTCTACTAAACTTACCAACTTTTGGACTCTGAATGTCCCACACCAATGGCACAGACGCTGCAAAGATGGAATGGCGTCTGTTAGCGCAAGTAATGTTTACTTCATGTTGTCTTCTTTTTGGGGGGGAGGGGTAATGGGCATGATTCTGCATGGTCTTATCATGAGACATCAATCACTTAATGGTGATAAATTAACTTACTCTGAACATAATTGTGAAAACAATCACTAATACCATAGAATATTACAAACCAAAAATTGACTTTCTTCTAAAAATCTTTTTTTTTTTTTTTTTTTTTTTTTTTTTCAAGGTATCAGTTATCAGCCAATAAATGGAATTGTCTATTACATAAATAATTAGAAAAAAATAAATAAATAAAAATAGAAATAAAAGTTGGTTATAAATTTTTTCACTAGCAACATATATATATTTTTTAGATTGTACTACTTTTCAATTTCATACCTTTTACTATAAATAAATTTCTATAATTATTAAAAAACAAAAAATAAAAAACACTGAATCATACATCAAAATTTTAAAGATGATAGCCAGTGCCAGAAATACATTAAAATCTTTGGTCAAAACTTACTTTTTGGTATCATATGATAAATATAATCAACCACTTAATTTAACCTGATAAGTAGTTTTAACGACATTCTCCCCTAAAGAGCCGTCACCACAAAACAAATCTGAATTCGTAAAAAGCAAAGAACTCCTTTCATGCACATCCCTTTTCATTCCTTCTTTCTTATCTGTATTTTTGTCTATCTTCTGTCTTCATTCTATCATTCACTATCTATTTTGCTTAATTATTCATTCTCTGTTCTTGTTTTTTTTTTTTCTCTTCTCATTCTCAGTTTTCTTTTTTTTCTCTTTCCTTTCATTCATTCATTATCATTTCTTTTCTTTTATTCATTCATTATCATTTCTTTCTTTCATTCTCTCTTCTTCAGTCATCATTCTCTTCCTCTGACTCCCCTCATTCATTCTCTCTCTATTCCTGTTTCTATCCCTTTCTTTCTTTTATTCTTCCATTCTATTATCTATATGTTTATTCTTCCTTTCTGTCTGCAAGGGATTTCACTCTAAGCTTCAACTACTGCACCTAAACCTACTATCTACTAAGCCTATTCTGCTATTTACTAAGCCTATTTTACTATTTAATAAGCCTATTCTACTATCTACAAAGCCTATTGTACTATTTACTAAGCCTATTCTGCTATTTACTAAGCCTATTTTACTATTTAATAAGCCTATTCTACTATCTACAAAGCCTATTTTACTATTTACTAAGCCTATTCTATTCTACTATTTACTAAGCCTATTCTACTATTTACTAAGCCTATTTTACTATTTACTAAGCCTGTTCTACTATTTACTAAGCCTGTTCTACTATTTACTAAGCCTATTCTACTATCTCTCTATTATCATCCATAACACAAACTATGTAAATCTCAGCACTGACGGCTTCACTTTTCACGAGCTCAGATTTGTTTCCGTGGTGACGCGTTTCACGGGTGATTTTCCTCAAACTACTCGGCAAATTTAATTCACTAGTTGATAAGAACTATTAAATGGTACCAAAGAATAGATTTTGCTTAAGTAATAATGGCAGTGGTATTCACCTTTCAAAAACAATACCTTCGACAATGTGATTTATCATTCAATCAACATTCATCACAATGTACTTTTAAATTTTCAAAATAGAAAATTTTGCTCTTGTCTCAGAACATTTGTTAACATTAAGAACATTTATATTGCATTTTAGTAGTATTTCTTCATACTGTCCCACTTAATAATAATAATGATAGTAATCAGTTTTTCATACTGTTGACTTTTAACACTAGACAAAATATTTCATAGTAGATGTCCCCAACTAAACTTAAAATAAATATACATTTTTAGAAAAAATGGACATCAATCTCAAAAATTAATCTATGCAAGACAGACATATGAACTGTAGCTGATATAAAATTGTAATCTTAAATAACATCAATTTGAGTGTTTACTCATCTTTCTATAAAACTTCCATTCAGAGAATAAGGGACAGAGACACTAAATTCAAAATTAAATATTGTCAAATTAATGTGTATGGAACTGCTATACCATACTTAAATTACTTTTAAAAACATTACCATTTATTTTTTTTATCTTCAAAAAGCTGAAAAGATAAAGACTACATAGCCTAAAGTTACAAACATTATGGAATATCACACAAACTGGACTAGCAAAAACAGTTGGAAAACATATGGCATTAGAATTTCAAAATCTAATATATGTTACAGTATAAAAATAATATTACTTCACTAATATTAAAAAGGAATAACATTTATTCTATACCTAAAACAGTGTCTGCTTATTAATGGTTCATATTTTCATCATTAAATCATTTTTTTACGGTATCATGGTGATCAGAAAAGATTACAAACTTACTGAACTTTCAAAACAAGAATTTTTTTTTATAAAAA